CAAGGTGTAGAGCTGGATGAACACAGCAGGCCAAGCAGCATCAGAGGTGTAGAAAGGCACCTTCAGAAGGGTCTAGGCCCCAAACATCAGCCTTCCTGCTCCTCTGATGCTGCTTGGCCTGCTGTGTTCATCCAGCTCTACACCTTGTTGTCTCAGATTCTCCAGCATCTGCAGTTCCTACTATCTCAGATTCAGTGATAACCTTGCAAAGGGAATCGGGAAGGGAACACTGCAGGAATCGCTGGTGGGGAGGGCCAGCACAGACACGAAGCGGGCTGAATGGTCTCTGCTCCTCAGGGGGATGGTTGTTGTTGTGTATGGCAGTGCCCAGCAGGGTGAGTGAATCGCCGTGTGTGCAGGGAGGATCTCGTGGTATGTGTTTGCAGGTGGAAGGTGCGCCGTCTGCCTGGTGCCAGAATAGCGAGGCGGTGGAAGCTGTGCGGCGCCAGGCTCGCCGCGAATCTCACCGTACAGCCGTGACCTCCGCACCCGAAGGCCGGACTCAGCCTCTCTCTCTCCCACCCCCCCTTCCACAACCCCATGGCCGGGGGAGGTGTCCGCACAAAGGGAACGACTACCGCCGCCGACGAGCACGCAATGGAGGAACGGAGGGCAGCGCAGGGCTCCCGCTGTGTCGAGGTGACCCTGAGTGGGGGTGCGCCCTGGGGATTCACCCTGCGAGGGGGTCGGGAGCACAAGGAGCCTCTCCTCATCACCAAGGTAAGGAAAGCTGGCCTGCTCTCTCTCTGTGCTTTTTACTCCGCACATTCAAACCCACTCTGCCAGGATTTGCAACAAGCCCAGCCGTGGCTCCGTTGCTAATTTCTTCTTCCCTTCATTCCAAAGGTTCAAATCCCACAGCTCACCCAGTGCTTGAGGGTGCGCTGCACTGTCACAAATGTGTCCCTTCTGCTGAGATATTGATGCTTGGTGTCCAGAGCAGGAGAGTTCTACAGACTACCTGGTCAATATTTATTCCCACCTCCCCCCAATGACTTGAATAAAACAGACCAGCTGGACCCCCATCATGTTGTTGCTCGTGGAATCTTGCTGTGCGCAAATTTATTGTTCCAGCGTTACACTTCGTTGGCTGTAGGACACTGGTCCCCTCTGAGTTTGTGAGAGGCGTCATGTGAATGCAGATTATTCGATATTGAATCTGGATTAGAGACTTCCTGTTCTGAGGAAGGGTCTCTGGATTTTTATTTTCTTCACAGGTGCTGTCAGACCTGCTGAGTTTTTCTAGCAACTTCTGTTTTTGGTCCTGAGTTACAGCATCCACAGCTCTTTCGGTTTATATTTGAGGCTACCAAGTCATTGGCTGTTAAAAGCTGGTGAGACATCACAATGAGTTACTGCACACACTGAGAAAACAGCAGGGATCAATCTTTTCTGGCTGTGTTGGCGGATAGGTCTCTGAAGTTGTTCTCAGGATCTGAGTTTCACAGGGAAGGCTAGCCTTTATTGCCCCTGTGATGATGTTGCTGAGTTACCTCTGTGAACCTCTGCAGCATCTGTTGTGTGTTTGGTAAAGAGTTTCAGAATTTTAACCCAGTAGTGGTAAAGAAGTAATGATGGATCCCCAAGTCTGGAACACAGCTTTTCTTCGTAGATGGGATCGTGAAGAAGCGTTTGGTGTGCTTGCCCTTATTGGTCAGTGCATTCAGTGTTAGAGTTGGGAGGTCATGTTGCAGCTGTACAGGACATTAGTTAGGCCATTTTTAGAATACTGCATACAATTCTGGTCTCCCTGCCATAGGAAGGATGTTGTGAAACTTGAACGGGTTCAGAAAAGATTTACAAGGATTTTGCCAGGGTTGGAGGGTTTGAGCTGTAGGGAGATGCTGAGTAGACGGGCTATTTTCCCTGTAACATCAGAGGCTGAGGGGTGACCTTATAGAGGTTGAGAAAATCACGAGGGGCATGGATGGGGTGAACAGCCAAGGTCTTTTCCCAGGGGTGGGGAAGTTCAAAACTAAAGGGTATAGGTTTAAGGTGAGAGGAGAAAGATTTAAAAGGAACCTAAGGGGCAACTTTTTCACACAGAGAGTGGTGCGTGTATGGAATGCGCTGCCAAAGGAAGTAATAGAGAATGGTACAATTACAATATTGAAAAGGCATCTGGATGGGTATATAAATAAAGAGGGATTGGAGGGATATGGGCCAAATGCTGGCAGATGGGAGTAGATTAATTTAGGATACCTGATCGGAAGAGTTGGACGGAAGGGTCTGTTTCCGTGCTGTACAACTCTATGACTCTACCTGAAACAAAAGCTAACTGTGCTTCATTTTACAGTCTCTTCTAAGAGATGACCCTTTACACAACGTAACATTTCCTTGTCTGTCCCCCTCCCCGCTGTGTTTAATAATTAGTCGGAATTATAGAAGAATTATTTTTAATCAACCTGTTTGGACCTGCTCTGATGCACATTCAGGGCAGGTGGGACTTGACCATCTGACCCAGAAGTAGGGATGCTACCACTAGGCTACAAGAGCCCAGTTCTTAATGCACCTGGTATTCCCAGGCAGTCTCCCATCCGATACTAACCAGATCTAAAATGAAAACAGAAATTGTTGGAGAAGCTCATCAGGTCTGGCAGCATCTGTGGAGAGAGAAGCAGAGTTAATGTTTCGGGTCCGGCGACCCTTCCTCAGAACACAGTTAAAAGAACTGAAGAAGAGTCATACTGGACTCAGCATTAACTCTGAGTTTGCTTAGCTTCCAAAATCTGTTATGATTAGGTGTAGTCACAAGTTGTGAAGTGTGGTTTCAATTCCCAACCCCCTAGTTCAGAGATATACGTGCAACCAACTTAACCAGACTGGCATGTTAAATGATTTGGTGACAACCTAGACAAAACAGACAATATTTCCACAGGCTCTCAACACCTTGCCATGACATTTATTTGTGTGCTATTTTATTTAATTGTTTAAAAATATTGGAAGAAGAACGTATTGAGCATTTAATGTTTATCCACTAATATTGTGACGCGTAATATTTATATGTTGTGTGAATTGTGTTTGCTATTCTGGGAAATGCTTTTCTAGTAGTTCTTGACATCCATGAGCTACAGTTCACTACTGGACATGATACAACCTTTACACATTGTATAGAATGAAACAGCTCTTAATAATTGTCTGTGAAAAGACCATCTGTTGGTAGTGACTCCACACCAACAGGATACATTTTCGTTAACATTTAGTAAAAATGGAGAGTTCAGTCTACGATCATGTTTACTTGTTCTAAGATGAGTCAGTAGTTGAAAATATAATCTATATGCTATTGGTGAGTTCTTTAATATTTCTGAAACTGAATTCCCAAACAAGTTGAGATAGTCCTATTCAATTCATCAACAGGACTGTTCCATGTGTTTTTCTGTTGGAAAGTAACATTTACAGCTGATGAAAATAAATTAATAACTGTGCCGTGTTCCGGTCTCAAATCTCTGCAATAATTGTTGTAGCTAGCTGTATTTTGGAATTGGAAAATGTGGGCTCTATGTTGAGAGAGCATTGCTCGTGAAGAGGCATTGTGTTCTGAAGATGGTGTTTATGGAGTGTTTTAATGGTATCATCTGTGGCATTAGGGCTGTTGTATTGTGAAGTGGTGTTCAGAGCTTTCGGAATGGTGGTCAGTGCCTGCATTTCAAATTTGAACACTTGTCGTTGAATCCCTAGACCCTTCATAACTTTGTGACGTTACAATAGTGACTACATTTCAGCCGAGTGTTTAATTGGCTGATCGTGTTTTGAGGTGTGCGGTGGATGTGAAAAGCGCTATATAAATGTATTTTTCTGATTTGTAATGATTGCTTCCTGTGAGCCAAGTGCCTGAAGTTGTGATCATCCTGATGCCACTTTGGCTGCAATATTGTGGAGCTTCTAATTTTCACTGTGTGGGATATTAGAAAGTTTGGTTGTTGGTTTCTGTGGCCTGGAGTCACGCGGATGAGCTTGCATTTAGGTAGCACCATTTCACATCCTGGCGATGCTTCAGATCTGTTCACGGTGGAATGCTTTTGAAATGAACCCACTATTATGATGCAAGAAATGTGACAGCTAAATTTGCACAACAGTTTTCCCAGAAACATCTGAGATGCTTGACAAGGTGATATTGGTTGAGTGATAAATATGGGCTGCTGATCCTTGAAATGGTTGTGGCATCTTTTTAGAACATCTGTTGGAGAGCAGATGTGGCCCTATTTCAGTGTCTCCTCTGGCTGTACACCTCTCTTTGGTACATGCAGTAGGCTTAGGAGGGACAATTCCAAGCAAATGAGGAACAACAAAATGGAGCTAGCTAGGGTGCGGAATTAGCCAGAGGTTGGAGTGTTGGCTACTATAGGATATATTTGGCTATGTCTTTTACAGCCAGGTAGGCTGTAAACCTGCCTGGACTGAAACGAACAGTCTGAGTGCATTTTGCCTCAAATCTTCGCAGCATTTGCAAATCTGTAAAAGAACGTTCGCTCAACCCCTTTTTAATATTGAGTATTTTCAGAATACCTCTGTCTTCTGTATATCATAGCCACAAATGGCTTGATGACCTTTTCCTCGAGGCAAAAGTTGAAGGAAGGTGAAGTAAATTGGTGAAGGCATAGCTGTGAGCTACTGGTGAAACAATAATATAATGCTGACTGGCCTCTGCTGATTCCATTCTTCCGAAAAATTTCTGTTACCATGAGTGGAAACAAATCTTAAACACACAATTTTTAAGAAGTTCTTTTGACAAAGAAATGTGTGTGGCATTTAGAGAAAGTTAAATGTTGATTTTAAATTTGGAACACGTTTCCTTACTGTTTTCTTTGGTAGGTATATCAGTTATAGTCTATTGTTTAGGGTTGTTTCTTTTCTGGAGCGATGTGTTCGTACACAATCATAGTTGATCCTGTGCAGTCACACAGAGGGTGAAGGGTGATGCCTGATGGAGCAGTGGATTTGAGATAAAAATCGAGAATGTGTCAGGGGTTCATGGGAAAAATGGAATGCAAGAGTCATCTGCTCTTGTTTCCTTGCTTGTGAGATCTGGGGAGGAAAAGTGATCTTCCAGACTCCAAAGCAAAGTTCCAGACTGAACACGATAAACCCATCAGCAATAGTCCTACAGTATATTTATAATTTGATGAGGGTTCTGTATAATTTGCAATATTTTTTACAATTTCAAGAAAGCAGGCACACTGCACTTGAACTCATTCTTAAGGACATGGTTTCAGTCTGATTACCAAAGTCTGTGAGTGGAATGGAAAAAAATTGGGGGATTTAGATGCAATATAACGTAATAAACATTACACGAAGGAAGCACAGGGTGGAAAGGGTACAGTGCGGACTCTGGGCTTCAAAGTTCCTCCCCAGGAGTGGCTTGGCAGCAGCACTACTGACCAAACTGCTCAAGTCTGAAAGGGTGTAGCCTCAAGATTGGGTCTGTAAGGGGACCAGCTAGACAGGAAAAACATACTTGACCTCATTCTCATCAGTGTGTCCCTTACAGATGCATCTGTCCATGACTGTATCGATAAGAGTTACCACTGAATGGCCCTTGTGGAAATGAAGTCTTGTCTTTACATGGAGGTATTCTCAATTGAGTTATATGGCACTATCTCTGTCCCAAATTGGATATACTTAGGACAGATCAAGCAACTGGGCAACCACGAGGTGCTGTGGGCCATCAGCATGAGCAGAATTGTACTCCAGCACAATCTGTAACCTCATGGCCTGGCATA